GAGAAACCTCTATAATGCATCTGTAGAGGCTGCATCTTAATATGCTCATCTTGGCTATAGAATTGTATCAGTATGCTGTTCTTCATCAGGAGATTGAGATGCCATTGCTGTTCTTGTGTTTTTCTGAGTACTTCCGAGAACAGGTTTATTGAGATTAAGAAAACACAATTTCTATTTGTTTTACTGGTTACAGTGATGAGTTGATTGGTAAAAAGTGATCCCATTGGTGCATCTAAAAAATCTATATCTAGACTGAATGCAAGAAACATGTCATCTAGAATATTCTAATTTGGTGATTTGAGAACCAATCAAAACCGGATTTTTAAATTCATAACACAGGTGCATCTACTAGGACTCTGAGGCGCAAGACTGGTAGGCACCAATAGTTTTACACATATAATTTTTCACACATAATAATTGTTTTTTTTTATAGGGCAGCATGGTGTCACGGTGGTTAGCACTGTTGCCTCACAGCAAGAAGGCCCTGAGTTCAAATCCACCATCAGACTGGGGTCTTCATGTTTGGAGTTTGCGTGGGTTCTCTCTGGGTACTCTGGTTTCCTCCCATAGTCCAAAGACATGCAGTTAATGGGGTTAGGTTAACTCTGAATTGTGAAAGGTGTGAGTGCGAATGGTTGTCTGTCTCTATGTGTTAGCCCTGCGACAGACTGGCAACCTGTCCAGGGTGTACCCCACCTATCGCCCTAAGACAGCTGGAATATATATATATATATATACCCCTTCTCTCGCCAGCTGGGATAGGCCCCAGCGCCCTCTGCGACCCTGAAAAGGCTAAGCGGTAGCGAATCGATGGATGGTATCGAAGGCTGTGCTAAGATCAAGCAAAATGATCACAGAACAATTTCCTGCATCAGAGGCCATTAACAGATCCTTATAGAACCTTAAGAGAGCGGTCTCAGTCGAGTGCTGCTTTTGAAAAGCAGACTGAAAAGGGTCAAAAATCTGTAATCTGCATAGTAAGGACCTGGTACCCAGGTACCATGACCTAATGGAAAACCCTGAAAATGTTGGCGAAGATGGCAAAGTTTTCTATTGAAGGCTGTCCACAGTGGGACTCCTGATTAGGGAGGGAAAAGGAAGGTATCAAGAAATGAGTAGCGATGCTACTGACTGTAACATTAGGTTTGATAGCAGTGTGGCAAATTTCTGAAATAAAGGACACAGGGTGGGATGCATTTGGACATCAGGCAATGACCCATTTTCATTCTTTCATTTAAAATACTATTCACTGACACAGCCTCTCCATCTGCACACCAAGCTAACACTTGAACACATAGCACAAACGTCACAAAAGTAATGACCTTAAACATAACTAATGCTGAAAAGATGGAGACACGATACAAGGGCTGCCACAAATTGTTATTTTGATAGTCGACTACTGACAGATTATTTTTGTGATTGTTCGACTAATCAGATAATGCATCCATTGGACGTAAAACGTACAGCTTATTGCACTAGCATGCATCTGCTCTTATTTAACTATCATTAGCTTACAGCTAGTGTTTAAGGTATGTGCTAACTAAAAATAAAGACAAGATGATAGTTTATTAAACTTTTAATGAAATTAGCAAATTGTCCCGGTGGAGTTTAATAAACTCAGCCGTCTGCTCCTTGCTATCTAAAATATAACAGGACACTTGAGTAAATTCTTTACCATCTCACACTTTCGTTTAATCAGTTTTCTGTTTGACGTTTATTCAGCTGTGTGGAAACTATAACTTTATTCTCAGCCAAAATGATTTACTCACAAACAAATAAAATACTGAAAAAAGCCAAACAATAACATTTTTAAGTTATCTAAGTGACCTATATATCATGTTTAACCTGAGTAGCGAAAGACCACGGGGGTCTGAAAACGATGTGCCGTGAGTTCGCTGTTCTCACCTGCTCTAGTGAGCCTTGAACCCCTGACTAGCTTTCAAGCTGGTGGGTAACAGACATCTCCAAAAACGTCAGAGCACTTGCAAATATGGGACGTCTTGATTAATCGAGCTGATATTTTAAGGTTACACAGTTACATTCTCGCCTGAAAATATCTTAAAAGTTTATTTTGTGACCCAGAAAGAGTAATATTAAAACTAAGTAGCTGCCGCCATTGTAAACTGGAATTGGCTGGGTCGTGCTATGAATTCTGGATACACCCAACCCATCCTTCACATCTAGGGAAAAGGAGGACATATTTGTCCAGCCGCATTTGGAGGAGTCTTCGAATTTGGACAGCCTACATTGCTGCCTACAAATGCGACCTCCAAAGGATGTGGCCCCTAAATTTGGACACAGCTACGATACCTGAGATTGCTGCTGCTGCTTCTTCGTCTTCAGTCAGTGCGCCCCAGGGCAGCTGTGGCTACAATGTAGCTTGCCATCACCAGTCTGTGAATGTGTGTGAGAATGGGTGAATGACTGAATGTAGTGTAAAGCGCTCTGGGGTCCTTAGGGACTAAGTAAAGCGCTATACAAATACAGGCCATTTACCATTCTTTGGTGTTTAACAGCAGCTGACATCCTTGTACATGCATTACTGCCATCTTCTGTTTCAGTCCGTTATTACACCCTTAAATCCTAGTACTTATTCCGGCGTCTTTCAGGACGCGTGGACTATTGAATTAGTCGTTGAAGATCTCGACGTAATCGTGACTAGTTGACTTATCGTGGCAGCCCTTGTGTTACAAAAATATACTGTGTGTGTTTTGGTCTCTCTCCCAAGCTAATGTTTCTAGGTGTGTGGCCTGCTATGCTAACACGGGCCACATCACCATTTCAACTGACATCAGGTAAGCAGCTTAGCATGTATGCTGAAGTTGTTTAGAAGCACTTCACTGCTCCTGCCCCTGATTTCTACTGATATTTGAGGCTAGTTCTTTCATGTTTATCCCTAACAACACTGCACCTGATGGTACTGTGATTCAAGCTCATCACCCTTGCTGACGAATTGGCCTAGCACTCAGGGACAAGTGATCCATTCAAACCTTTCATGGAAGAGTGATTTGGTAGATGGAGTGGTAGTGTGTGTTTTCTTTTAATCATGTTGCAGTGGCCTTCCTGACTGTCTGTGGATGCTGCTTCATTGCGTGCATGAGAAAATTTCTTACACTGAAAATTTTTACACTGCTCTGTCCAGGACCATCTATCTGTATCGCTACATAGAGCAGAAAGAGAACACCTAACAAGACGACCTACAGCCCATGATGACTCTACGGACAGTACTTAAGTTACATACAATAATGACTATGTTTAAAACCTAGACAAGCGAGACATAAGCCTGATATATTAGGAGAAAAACAGTACACTATTTTTTTTTTTGGTAAATATTATATTACAGTGTAGCATAAACACAAGGGATTTGATAGAAATATTATTCAATTATGCAACACGTTCTGAAATTAAAGCTACGCAACTCTTTACAGTAAGCTGAGGAAATGTATGTTCATTGTGTATGCTTTTGCCTCCTTGCAAATAAAGGCGTTGAAACTCGCTACTGTCTCACTTAGCTAGCTAGCTAAGTGTTACACACTGCGGTCAAGTGAGCCCTCACTTACGAAGTCACAGTCAAGCTAGCCGCACCGAAAATGTTGTTGCACTACTCTTACGCATATTACGGTATCGGTGCCGACTGGCTTAGAAACGCAGTCTTTTGTGTCCTGACACTATTTTACTTCACAATCCACTCCCAGTTTTAGTGTATCTCCACTTCCCCCCCTGTGATCCACAGCCCAAATTACTGTATGATTCAGATAAAATTAACAATAAAATTTACCCAATATACTCTACTGTACTTTTAATATCCTCATCTTTGACCTCAGATTACAGGAAAACTGTAAGAGGTGACGCAGATATCTCACTGGATTATGACTCTGGGTGACCCCCACTCTGCACCCAGTGATCCACAGCAAAAAATACTGTACGGTTTTTAAGAAAATTGATAGTAAACTTTGCACAATTTACTCTACTGTACTTTTAATGTCCTCATCTTTGAGCTCAGATTACAGGAAAACTGTAAGAGGTGACGCAGATATTTCACTGGATTATGATTCTGGGTGACCCCCACTCTGCACCCTGTGATCCACAGCCAAAATTACTGTACGGATTTCCAGAAAATTGATCGTAAACTTTGCACAATTTACTGTACTGTACTCTACATATTCTCATCTTTGACCTCAGATTACAGGAAAACTGTAAGAGGATATTTTCACTGGATTCTGAATCTAGGCCATCTCCACTCTGCACCCTGTGATACTTCTTGCAGGCCTTTCAGACTTATCTAGTAAGAGCATTTGGTAATCGGGCCTACAACAGGCCTGTCATGTTCATGTGTGATGGATCCCTGGTACTCCTCCGATCCATTTCCATGACATTCTGCAGAACAAGTCTAGAGGATCTGCTGCAGAAGTACTATGTCTTACTGAGTGGCCAGCAATTCAACATTCCCATTCTTCATCGATGTTTGAGCCATGTCATGAAAAAGGCCAAGGACCTTTGTAAAAAAAAATTTATATCAATAATTAAAAAAGAATACAAGATTTGTAATGTAAAGGTCATACTAACAGTGATTTCATTCATTCATTTTCCCAGCATTCCAGAGAACTACAGGCTTGGAATGCATGTGTTTGGGCTCCTTGCATGCTGTGATAACTTAAAAGACATGGATGATGTTGTCCATAGTGCAGCAATAGTGTTTTGCAGTCCTTGTAGTGGAAGGAACGTAACAAAACACTACAACAACTTGAAAATCTTTATGCAAAAATGGGGGACCCTGGATTTGGATGAAAAGACTGTGATTGCTGAAGATTACAAGGTTAGCTAAGATTTATTTTTTAAGTAACCATATTAATAACTTTTTTACTTGTGTCTGTCGCAAATGAATTAATGAATTCACATTATTTTAAAAATATATATTTTAAACCACAATAACATTTTACATAATTAATTTTTCTTTGGTTTAATAACTTGCTGAATACAGATATATATCTGTTTTACAGACTGATGTTCAGAATGCCCCCTTGAAGACCCATTTCCAAGCAATTGTTGACAATGCAACACTGGACTGTGAGGACGAAAAAAACATCTGTCATGCACCCAAATTTATTGCCGGTCTGGTAAATCACCTTCTACCACATGCAACTTTGTGGTCATCAATGATACTCGGTACGTTTATTTATTTGTTGTATTACTATCTTAAATTGTCAGTTATTCATTAATGTAAATGTGCTAAATGTTGAATTATCTATTTTAATTATGTTTTTGAATTACTTGTATTCTCCTTAGGGGATCTTGGACGTCATGGTACTGGTCCTGCTTACCAGCAGCTCAGTAAACTCTATGGTGACATTCAGCAATCTAAGAACCAGGTATCATAGCGAGAAGAATAAGTGAAAAAGAAACATAAATTGTACATAAATTTACAATACATAGATACTGACTTAAACAATATACTATTGCATTTAAGAATTTTACACAAGACAACAGAACCCAAGGAATCATGGAGAAAAGCCAGTGGGATTTGAAAAAAATCCGTATCCAGAGAAGGAGACTGACAAGGCTTGATGACTTTGTGGAAATTTATCAAAAAATGCACGATGCCCTCCTGCTTGAATATGCAGACATGAAAAAAACAAGACAAAAGGTATGAATAACTTCCTAATAATGAAAATTGTGTTTTATACAACAAGAACAAGAAACTAAGAAAAAGTGAAAACATTTGGCTATGACTATAGAATTAAGAGATGATAAAATAAGTAAGCATTAAAAGTATGTACGTGTAAAAAAAAAACAGTCTTTTCGCGTGGAAATGGAGAGATGGAAAGACAAACACATTAAATGAAAAGGTGTGTACGTGTCACCGTTAGTGACAGAACTGCCACTGAAGAAAAAGAAAACTGAGGTAAGTCATCATGTTCCCATTATTTTCAATAATTAAACCTTGTGATGTCCTCCCGATTGCCATACTCCTTTTGTCCTCTGGGGTAAACCGTCTGCTTTGACTATTTATAAAGCATGAATTATAAATTATCATCCGTCTCCATGTTTCAATGTTTTATCAAACTGTATTCCAACTGATTACTTGAAATCTTTATGTGTTTTGACATTGTATTACACCTAGGCATGGGCCTTAGTGAACCCCCACTTTAATGCCAAAAAATGCATGTCCATAGGTGACATAAGTGCAGGAGGAAGCTCAGGTTTTTTGCTTTTTGCTGGTCACACCATGTACAGCTTTGTTTTCAGCAGTTGTAGGCCAAGGCCATATGAATTAAACAAGCTTTCAAGGCTGATTATTGTCTTTTGGAGACCTACTGTATTATGCACAGCTCGTGTGCAATCATACACTAGCATGTTCTCTGTACAGCTGGACCGGGCATCACATACTGCCCATGTTTTTATCTCATAGTTCCTCTGTTTACTTGGGACGTAATGTTGGACATTAAGGGGACTAGGCACTCATACACAGTCATTTCAGTTCCTGTATGGTACACCAACAGCAGGACAGATGCTCACTCGTTACATACATCTCAAATCAGAACAAGTTTGTCTCATTCATGACCATATTCTTTTGTATATTATATTCTATTATATAAAGTCATTCAAAAATGTTATCTGTTAACAGATAAAAG